TTTTTATTATTTTCCAGTATGATATCGGTATGAAATCGATGACAGCTCTTAAAAAGAGATATGGAACTCAATATAAGGTCGGGAATATTGCTGAAGCAATCTGTACGTAAAAATTTTATTTATATTGTCTTCTCCCTCTCTCTCTCTCTCTCTCTCTCTCTCTCTCTCTGTCTGTCTGTCTAATTTCTAATCATATCTAAAAGTTTTTAAATTTCTCAAATGCTTTATTAAAATTAAAAATTTCTTCATTTATTATCTTTTTTTAAAAGTATAACCTGCAAAATTGATATAATTGTTGCGATTAAAATAATTATTTATTATATATATATATATATCGTATATTCGTTTCTCTGTAATTATATACAGATATAAAATAAGATTCATTAGACTTACTGTTTTTGTAAAATTGTTTATAGATGTGGCTTCCGGAGGATCTATGGATTGGGTCAAAGGCACTTATGGTACACCTATCGCTTATACATATGAATTGCGTGATCAAGGTCGTAACGGCTTTTTGTTGCCTCCTAATCAAATTATCCCGACTGGAGAAGAAACTATGGACTCTCTCGTAACCATGTTTAAAGAGGCAAAGGCACGTGGATATCCCGCAAAATAATTGAAACTAAATAAATTTATATAAATATTATCTCATTATTGAGATGGCATATTTATAGATTCGACGACTTGTTAATTTTCTTTTCAATATTATGTAATAATCTATAATATAATAATAAATCTTATTTCCATTTTTAATTATACATAATGTTTTGAATTAAAAATTAAATTTTTCTAATCTGATCAATTATCAATAAATTTTAAATAATATAATGCCAATATAAGCTACAAGTATTATCTATAATTTATTCTCATTTGGTAAATTATTGATTACTTGATTTTATATTCGGTCAATAAATTTTAATATTTTAATTTAATTAAGTACAATGTTTGGAATTTTGTATGTCATGCTTAATATAAAAACGAAATTATGTATATTGTCATGAGAAAAGAACCAGCTTATGTTTTCAATTTAAAGTTTTTTATAATTGTTTACTTTATTTATATATTAGTTAATTGTTTAGATCGATCTTCCTTAAACCCGATATCATGAGCCTAACTTAATGTTAAAACTTCGTAATGCGACCCAGAAACATAGATAACGTAATACAAGGTTTATTCAACAGAATAAGAATTGATAATACGTAAATACAACCTCGATAAAAGCTAATGTATGACCGTTGCAAAATGGCTAATTTATAATTTTAAGACTATAATCTTAATGTTTCATGAGTTCTTTATCTTTAATACACAGTCTTGTGTCTCGTGTCTTAAGACTCTTAAGTGTATATAGAGTTTGCGAGGAACAAATGTATGTACGCAAACATATAAAAATAATTTTAACTTTATATATATATATATATATATATATATATATATATAAATTTATACATATATAAATTTGTAATTTCTACATTAAATGAATCTTTTTGAACAAAGAAGATAAATTAGATTGTATTCATTTATTGAGTACATTTCAACTTATAAGAGACTATTGTTATATATACTTATAAAAGTTAAATATGTTTGATTACAGATATTGATATTTGATATTTATAAAATATTTATTTATTGTTTATTCAGTAATCAAGCAGTAAAATTATTTTTTGTGTTTGCGTACATACATTTATTCCTTGCAAATGTTATATACACTTTTAAGATATGAGACATAAGACATAAAACAGTTATTAGTTAGTGTGTTACTAAAAACTTAGGTCATAAAAAAACGTTGATCATAAGATAGTCATTTTGTTAAGGAGACAAAGGTTGTTAGAGACTAAGGCTAATTAAAGCTAATACAACAAAGATGTATGTAACGCGACCTGGTTACACGACCAGCATGTAGGATCCGACCACAGAAACCTAATTATGATAACGAGATTAATTTAGTGAAATGGCGAAGATTAGCCTGGATTCAAGAAGAGAAATATATACAAGAAAGATGCAGAAGAAGTTAGTCAGTCTCATATCATCAAATAACTTGGTAAAAAAATTTTTAAACATATATAAACATAAATAAATACATATGTATAATTACATATAAAATTTGTCCATGTAGTATATATAATCTATATATTAGTATCTTTCTTTTGCAAAATTTCTGGTTGATACAAGAAAAACAATAATAATAATGAGAAGATACAAAAAATAATTTAAAAAATAATTTTGTATTATTTACATTTTGTATTATTGTTTTATTTACAAAAAGTCAAATCAAATTTTTGAAGAAATAAAAAAAATTATTCATATATAATCGTTTATAATTAAAAATATATACAATATATAAAAAATATATAATAATATATGGGGAATTTTTTCTACCGTTTTATAAAAGAAACAATAACGAAAAAATTATTTAAAAAATTGTTTTGTCTTCTCATTATTATCTTATTATTATTATTATTATTATCTTCTCAGTGATATTTTCTTGTACCAAACAAATATATATTTTACAAAAGAAAGTATTAATAATACATATATGGACAAATTTTGCATGTAATTATGTATATTTAAATATGTTAATATATATTTATATATATTTATATATGTGTTTGTATATTTTCTTATATGAAAAATGTTTTTCATTTTGTAGCAACGATAGATTAAGAGAATTTTGTGTCGCACAATTATAACTATTTTAACGTAAACACTTGGCCCTACTTTTTTCTTTTTAAAATAAGTTTTTCATTTTCAGGAAATTCTATATGAATTTTTCCATATTCGATAGCGCAAATTAGTGCGACTTTGGTGCCGTGTACAACTACATAATTATTAGTACAGTTAGTGTTATAAGTGCTTCGTCAGCAGTTCTTTGGAAAAAAATCGAAAATTAAATTTTAAAGGTAGATTCTGTCAGTAACTATACATCAGTTAACTTCACAATATTGCCAATTGTGAAAGCTCTCGTTTTATAGAAACGTTATATCTTGATAAAGATTATTCAATATTACGAGAATTAAACGTTTTGTTTAATTCAAATCGCAGAAATTGTGACGCGAAAAGTTTAACAACTGAAGTTAATATTCGCGCATTACAGTGGAAGGAAATTATGCTATTAATAGGAAATTATTATTATATATGGAAGATAATAATATTATGCACAGTAGGCCTGGTGATCGCCAAGAAGGCAACTTTTGACAATTATAAGGTCTTTAAAATTGTTGTGACTACACAGATGCAGGCTGAACGGCTCAAACAGTTGACAGATGCAGTTCTTGATGGAGTAAGTAGATCTTTAATATATAAAGGTAAAGGCAAATCAATATATTTTGTGCAAAAATTTGTCATTTTTAAGAAATTTGTAGCACTTAAATTGATTATTAGCTACACACACACAATTTGAAAGAATTAACATCATAAAGTAGCATAATGTATATATATAAATTTTTAAAATTTACTTTATCGTCAATTTTATCCATGTTATCAAATTAAAATCAAATTAAGTATCTAATAGGCTCAACTAATGAAAATTAAAAATTAAAAGTAATAAAAGGCAATGATGAGTTAGGCACAGTATTGATGTAAAAATAACATATATTAATAATTACCAATCGAATACAATAATCATAAAGTCCGTCCGTAAGTTTAAGTCCGTAAAGTTTAATGCAAATCAAAACATTTGGAACTTTATGATTATTGTATTTCATTTTTAATTATTTATATATATATTTTTTGCACCAACATCGTGCTTGCCTTTGATTGCTTCTCATTTTATAAAAAAAAATTATTAGATAAAATTTAGAAGATATAAAAAGTAACAAAAAAATATGTAACTAATTATCTAAATTAAAATTACATTGTTATTAAATAAACAATATTAAACATTTACAGTTTTCCTTCTGGAGGGATCCGTTAGTGAATAAAGAAGTGGAACTTATGGTAGCCCCGCACAAGCTACCCGAATTCTACGAAGTGATGGCACAGATCCAAGCATCCTATGACGTTTATATTGAGAATGTTCAGGCATTAATCAATCGGGCAACGCCGAGGATTGCATCGACGACGTTTGATTTTAGAAGCTATCACACTCTCGACACAATTTACAAGAATCTAGATGACTTGGCAAAGCAATATCCCGATAAAGTACAAACTATCGTGGGCGGCAAGACGTATGAGGGACGTCCAATCAAAGGCGTCAAGGTTTCCTTTAAACCCAACAATCCTGGAATATTTCTCGAGGGTGGAATTCACGCCAGGGAATGGATCTCG